TCCCTTTTTGCTTCATACAACTGGCAAATGATTTTACTGAATGAGAAGCTGATGAACCTGCTCCTCAAGTTTGTCCCCCATCTAGGTAACTCACTGTGCTATTACAAATACTAAATACAAAATTTTAAAATATTCTGGGGAAGGCATCCCCCAAATCCCTTAATGGAAAATTAGAGACCCTCAGTTACAATAATAATTTTAAATAATTTTTATTGATTTATAATTTAATTAATTTTTAATTATATTCTGTAAGACAGTTGAGTGTTTGTCTCACTCAATTCGTGACCAAAATTTCGGTTCAGGATAAACTTTGCAATGCAGTCCATCACCTCCATAGGCATGTCCACCGTAAAGGAATCACAACCCTTCTTCTCCTGCCGGTACAAGACACTGTAAGGGTCCATCTCTCCAAGCCAAATGAGACATACAAACTCGTGGCAGAACACAATCACCACCTCATACTTTTCTTTACATTGCAAGTATTCTCAATATATTTGGCCAGCTTGACATGTTTAGCCTCTCGACCCTGATGGAGTTTAGGCCAAGCCCAAACCCAAGCTTATTAAAGAGCTAATTGGTGTGGTATGGTATAGCATAGCTCAGGGTCCACACACCAGGGCTAACTCCACCTAACAGCAGATGATTTGTTGAGAAATAGTTTTGGCAAAGCGTTTTCAAATCATCTACTCGCTGTTTGCTTACTTCAACTCTGGAATAAATTGCAGCAGCATCCTTGATTTGTAAACCACTAAATGAAAGGGAGTGCAGTTTTAAAGCAGATCCTCTTGCATGACAATTTTTCTATCTGCAAGATGCAAAAGTTTCTAGATGAGGTAACCAAAGTTCCATGAAAACCTCTTGGATTCCAGGCCAGTGAATCTATAGGAGAAAGAAATTCTGTTCCTTCTCTTTTCACTAAACTACCTATTGAAGCCATTGCACAGCCTTCCACACCTCATGGTTTCCCACATATACTTAAGAAATGTAACTAGCAGTGAAAAGTTGGGCAGATCTGAAACCACTGTTGCTGTGCGGAGTTTAGCTTGGTCAGTGTACTGCATGGCCATTGTCAGGAGAGCTGAAAACCACTGCTGCCAGGCATTGTTGGTGTTGTGAAGTGGCTCAGCCTCAGCTAAATCCACATATTTGCCCAAGGGGGAACAAATTCTTGCTTAGATTTCTCCTTGCTAATTAACATAGGAAGCTCTTTGTTTTCCTTCAGGATCTCTTAGTTTTGCCTCTAACTTCCTAACTTTCTCTGCAACAAGAATCCACTCCTTGTAATCCCATGGTTGCCAAGATGCTTCTGGTCCAGCAATTGAGCCACCAATAGTGGTTTTGTCAATTTGGTTCACGTTGGCAAAAGGGGAAAAGTAAATTGCACAGGTATTTAGTTCCCCTGAAACGGATGTCAACTATTTCATGTCAGCTGGGATCAACTGGAATCTAAATTCAACCATATGGCCTTGTTCAGTAGTGAGTTTAGCTCCTTCTATAAGTTCTATTTCTTTAACTAAATGCTTGGTATAGTATTTCATTAATGGAGTGTCCTCAGCAGAAGAACTGTTGCAACATTGTCAATGCTGTCAGCTCATAAATGTCTTGTACTAAAATTGACTTGACACGAATGTTGTTGTATAAAGTGAGAGACATAATTCCTGGCTTGCATGACAAACTGCACAATTTCTCCAATAACATAAAATCAAGGTTGAAAAAAATGAAAATTCGAAATAGTGCTCAAAAGCACAGCAAGGAAAAACAGGGTGGGTGGGTGAGGTGGGTAAGCGCCACAAAATGATGACCTGAAGAGTTCCCTACAATCACAATTTTTATCTGCTACTTTGTAATGGGCTGGCACAGGTTTTAAAAATTTCATCAACAGAGGGTCCAGCTTCAAGTATTTTTAAAGTTGCATGAGGCCTGCAAAAAAGCAAGTAAATTCAGCTGATGATCAGCCTTCTGATAAACACTCTAAAGGGCTATTACTCTTTTTTAGTCATATATCATTACCCTAAGTCCAATCTCTTCTCACTAAATCATGTCAGTAGTAGTCCAGCACAGGTTATAACCCTCTTCTAATGGCTTGGCAACTGGAGCAAAATCTGGTAATCTGTTGAAATAGGCCATACCACTGTATGTCTATGGAAATGACTCTTAAGCATAATAAATTATATCTACCTTTGAAGAGTGCCAAAACTGCCCTTTCTAGCCTCTCTACTGTACTTCCAATACCTTCATTGGTGAGATAAGACTCTTTATTTCTTTACCATGCAGAGCTTATTCAATTATATCCCATAATTGTTGACTAACTGAAATTGCATGCCCTCCCTCTCCCTCTCCATCTAAGTCATGAGTCTGTGTGTTCTTGACCACTTATTTCCCTCATAATTAGCTATTTTGCCAGTTATTTCATGTTCTATTCAAAAGTTGCGAAAACGAAGGCAAGCTACCCAAGTGTTCTGCTGCATTTAAAATTACACCAAGGAGACATTGATCTGTATCATATTTAAGTAAACAACAATGTTTCTTACTTCCCTTCTGCAAAGGGCTCTCCGTGGGGCTGAAAACTTAATTTTAAAAGCACTTGTCTTTAGGAAAGTGACTTTGGCATATCAATGCAAAACTTCTATCGAGAAAAATTGGGAACTGGCCTGGGTAAAGAAATATTGGTGATACCTGTAAAATTTTCACCTGTGTTACCTTTGCAGTGATCTAAAATATATTATGGGGTAATTGCATAAGACTTGATGCAAACTAAATACCTTTAGTTTTTTTTTGGCTGCTACTTCCTTTCCTACATTTTTTCGCTTTCGTTTCACGAAACCTGTATGAAGTACATGAAGGTGCTTATGGTTAATTTCCATTGATATGGTAACCTCTTTAAACAAGGAATGAATATTTTATGTTTCATTTCATTCAGTATATCATAATAATGGTCTAAGCATATACCTTCATTACTTGAACATCCTGCAGTAGATGTACTCTCACTTGTGAAGGAGAGGTCTAGCACTTCTTTCTCACAATCATCCTTACTCCCTGACGATGACAATAAGTAATATGTCCCATAACATTTCCAAGGAAGAAACTGCAAATGCAAAATCTAATAGACAATAATAAAATGGCACATCCAACTTTCCTTTGTCTTTCTTATAAAAAATTAATGGCTCCTTGGAGCTACCTCATGGTATGCCTGTTTGACTCCCTAGATTAATAGAAATCTATTTCCAAAAGGCTCTTATTTAAACAGTCATACAGCAGTAAAACATGTAGTAACATATTTTTGTAAGTGCACAATATTGCATGATAAGCCTACAAACCACATAAGATAAGTCTGGCTGGGAAATACTCCACATCTTTTCCTTTCCCCCACAACACATTTATGGTTTGGTTGTACGCACAGTGTGGTTCTTTAGTTTGTGTTGTCTCTACCACAGAGTACATGTTTTAATCCTCAAAGAGGACTATTGCAAAGTCCTCATCATTCCCTGTAGAAAGAAGTACAATCCTCATAAATAAGTAGTAGTTTACCAAAATCAAAAATACAAGAAAAGTTAAGTTACTACAATCTCTGACCATAGACATCCCCTTAGGATAAACATAACGGAATCATTTCTTCTTGAGATCGACCAGTGCCCGAATTGTGGTCTAAAGCAGTTAGCTGTGTACGTGCTACCATTCCCAGGTATCCAAAATGTTGCCACTTGGGTGCGTATTTGCTGTAGAGTCAATGGTACACTTCCAAGGCATCTGTGTGGATGGTCTTCGTTAGAAGGTCCAAATCTTTTAAGAGTGTCTTCTCTAGCACTACATGTTTTAATGCTTCGTGTGCCAGGGAACCTACGATAAGCCATTTGGTTTTACGATGTGCCCTTGGGAAATAGGCTCGTGTGCACAACAATTGTACAGCACAGACAAATCCCAATCGTGTTTGTCAGCCGTGTGGTAGAGGATGCTGACCCACTTCTCTTTGAGGAGCTGGGAATTTCCGTCACATGTCATCGCTGACCACCACATATGGTTTGTCACGGATTTTATCCAAGGAGAGAGGTCCTTGCATTCTTTCTTCTTGGCTTTCGTGACTAGCTTGGACTTGATGTTCTTGGTACGTTGTCTATCTGGTACTCAACACCGAGGTCCTTGTACTCCCTTCTCATGAGTGCTTTGATACCGGTGGGTCTGTGAGTACCTACAACTCCTACAGGAATGCCACTATTTAGTGCGCAGTCAAGACAAAGCTTAAAACCATGTTTCTCCATTGCCTGTACTCCGCTTTACATGGCAAACTTTGAAATTGACAATTTTCTCACTCTCTTTGTCCATCATGGTGTAAGTTCTGTATTTGGCACTAAAGCCTGGGGAGTCACAACGTCCATCCCCGAGGAGAGTGACTGAGTTACTGTTTATGAGATCAGTGAGGACTGCCGCCTTTTCCTGCTGCCAAAGATCATTTATAACAGGGAAAAGGTGCTTCTTCTGCCATTTGTGATAATCCGATTTGCTCAGAAAGGCAAGATTTATTGTGGAGGCAATTTCTGAAACGTGCAAAAACGTATTTCCTGTAAAAAGTATAGCACCTGAAAGCAATACATTCCCCGCAGCTGCCCTGTTAACAAGTGGCTGGGAAACCCACTCCTTTGAATGGGAGTTTTTACAAATTGTTGTTACTTTAAGTGCACTACCCTTTTTCAATGGCTCCTTTTCCAGGACCTCGTCACTGCATTTAAGACAGTGGCCAAATAACTCAAGCAGTGTTTCCTCAAATACTATGTACTTGGGAGACGAACACATTTTCTCATAAATGGTATTGTGACTGTTACTAACAAGCGGATCAGTCTCCAAATCGCTTTGGGTGGTATCCTGGTCCACTTATTCAAAGCTGATGTTAAACGAACTGTCTTCCCCAGCCTCTTCATCACAGCTGACTTGAATGGAACTGTTGTTGACGTTGTCATCATCAAAGCTGACTTGAAGGGAATTGTTGTTCACATTGTTATCTATTGTTACGCCAGTATCTTCTTCCAGTTAATCAAGAGTTCCAGAAGCCGAGGTGGTTGGCTATATGAAGCTTTGATCAGAGTCGAAGTAAATGGCTGCGTGTAAAGGGACCCAGGCCTAGAGAATAAAGGCAGTGGATTTCATGGTGGAACACAACTATAATTGTGATCTTGAAGAAGCCACGCGTCTTGCAGATGTAGCATAGGTCCAGATGAACTGAGATTCCATGCAGCTTGGGGAAGAAACCTGATTCGCTGAAGGTTCTGTTTCAAGCTTTGGAGAAGAGGGCAGTGAATCGCCAGTGTTTTCCTTTACAACTGAAGACGAAGACTTTTCTTGCTGTATAGATAGCATATGGGTGTTTTTAAGAAGGGTGTTGAAGACTTTCGATGAAATGCAGAATGTACGGTGTTGATTACATTTACAGGCTGGCATCACAAAATAGTAGTTAGTTGCATCATCAATATTTCACACCCTACCTCCTGTCGGCTCTGGCGCTTGTTTGCCGGGTTTTCTTTGGTGTCGGTGCATAAGGAAAAACAGATGGAACAGCATCATCTTTTAAATGTCTCTTTTTCCTGCTACTGTCAGATCCAAGGAGCTCGGACTGTATTTTTGACAAGAAAGGAAAACAAACAAACATTAAATACACTAATGGTTTTCCTCATTGTCTTCTTATTTACACAGAGTGGCTAGGAGACCTTTTTTTATTGTGATTCTGGTATAAATAAATATTCACGAGCCTTATAAGATAATTATAAACACTGCTTTGGAAAAATGATTAAGGAAAATTTTTGGGAGAAAACAGCTAAGCGCATCTTTGGTCGCAATTGAATGTACTACACGCGATCAATCACCAATGCGAGCTTCAATTCGTTTCACTTCCATTACAGTGGTTCTCTAAATAAAATTAAAGAAAAAAATACAATTCGAATATGGGAAAGGTAAACATAGCTTTAAGTTTGAAGCAAAGGTCAAGAAACACAACTTTCATACCTGAATATTCCGCTTGAAGTCGTCCTTGATAAAGTGATCTGAGCAGACGTCGCTGTTCTTGGGTTTCGGCAGAGCGTCCTCGCTTTTAATTTTTGCCAGCCAAATTTTCTTTAAATTTTCGGGTAGCTTGTGGAAGCTTACTCCTTTCCTTTTTGTATTCTTGTAAGTATTATGACAGCTGACTACAAGACAGTTGACCATAATTAAACTCTCATCAGAAAAACTCGTCAGAAAGGTCAATCAAGTCAACGAGGTCAAAGCGATAAACAATAAGGTTTGACTGTTGATACGTCATAGCTGACGTCATATCCAAGAAGGCATTTTTCTAGTCGCAAAAGTGGTAGATAAGAGCAACTTCAAAGCGCTGTTGTTGTAATTGCAAAGCAAAACAGCAATTATTTTCGAATTCCTGTGGAAAAGTTCTATTAATAGAGGTAAAATTTTTCTAGACCATACTTCCCCTTTAAGTGTGTTGGGCTTTTCCGATATTTTGATTGGTTGTCGAGAGATCCACATCTGAAGTTGGAGTAGCTTAAAACATGCAAGATGTGATGCGTAATTGGACACTACGGGAAAAATATTTTGGAAATAAAAATTTCCCGACACACTTTTGTTTTTCATTATCCTCGGAATATTTTGGCGAAATTTCACGAGAATCGGTCAAATCAACATATCTTATAAATTTACTCAAAGTGGATGAACTCCTCTCAAAATCAAATACGAGATTTTAGCTCATAAATGTTTGTAATCAATTCGCGCCACACTGGGAGATTAGGGAACTCAAGCACCTGACGTTTTCTACGGGGCGACGGCAACCGGAAGTCAAATTTACTTCCCATCCACGTTTCCCGCTGACAGAGTCCACCGTCGCGACTCTGCGCCAACTTTGTTTTGCTTATTTTGACGTCGCCTGTAAAACGTGAGTTTCACTTTTATGATTTTCGTGCTTTTATATCATTTTGCCTGCGATGTTTTGCACTTAGTGACACGTTAAATATTATTATGTCGTTTTGGCGCTTGTACGAGCGATTGTCAACCATTACAGGTCTTTTTTTTTAACTTTTTAGGCTCTAGCGTGAAGATGGCTACCAAAAAACAACCTGTAATGGAATGGACAGATGACCATGACATTCTTCTGTTGCGTGAAATGATTCCCAGCGAATTGTTTCAGTTCAAGGAAGGCAGTCCAGACTGTAGCAAAATCTGGGAGTCAATCCAGGAAAGATTGAACAAGCTCGATAATCCAAAATTTATGATAAAGGAGAAGTGGGGAGTCAGAGACCGATGGAATCTGCTTCAGGCCAAGTTTAAACGCACGCAACGAGAAGAGCTACAAGCCAGTGGCATTGATTGTGAGTTATCTGAGAAAGATGCCCTAATAGAAGAGTTATGTGAGAAAGAAGATAGCTTTTCCGCCAAAGAAAAGAAAAAGTCAGATGATAAAGAGGCAGCTGAAGAAATCAGAAAGAAAGCCATGGAATGCATGGCCTCAAAAAAAATCAAACAAATCTGCTGGAGGCAGCGTCAAAAAGAGCCGAAGAAGCAGGGGTGATGCGGTTGAATTCTTGAAAGAAAAAGCTCAAAGTGAGTATTCCATTCGCCAACAGGAGCTAGAGCTGCAAAGAAAGGAGCAGGAAGTAAGGGCCATACAACAAGAGCTACAGATTGAACTGCTACGGAAGCAAACAGAGCAGCAAGTGCAGATTTCACAGGCATTGATGACCATGATGCAAAATCTGGTTAAGAAGTAAAATCTTAGGTTAGATCATTCAAGAAAGAACACTTTGATCATCCTGGTGAAATTTTGTAGTTTAACAGTTTATACACGTTATTTATAGTTGCTTGTGCTAGGGACAAAGCATAGTGTTTACAAAAATGGGCTGCCTGCCTCTACTGAGTTTAGTGTTGATTAACAATACAGCTCTTTATATTATGTGCTGTAAATACTTAAAACAAACTGTTCATTGCTTGACAGTCAGCCTTTGTGTTTTGCTGTGTTACGTTTACTCATTTGTCGTAAGTTTTAAGTATGATCTTGGTATTTTTATTATAAGCCACTGTCCTTTAAATCAGGAAACACTACTGATGTGTATGTTTACTTTCGAGCGATCGCTCTCACTGTCCCATCTATGAATCCAAAACAATTTTCTAGTGGGGTGCCTTTTGCATGTATGACATCAGCATACTCCTGTAACAAATGAGGGTTCAAAATATCGTCATTCCATTGAGATATTCTGTGGCTGTGATTGTTGAAAATGTTGTCCATGACTTCGTTTGTAATCATGCGTAACTCTGGAACTGGTCTTCCAAATCGGCTGATCATATCTGAATAGCGACAAGGAAAAGAAAACCTTCTCAGTAGCATGCATAAACCTTCAATTCTATCACAGATTGTTCTTTGTGGACAATGGATGTTCATTGGTAGTTGAAGAACGTTTGCCAGCACAGGAATGTCTTGTTTTTGGACTCTGAACTCTGCTAAACACTCGGTTTCATGAATGTTTTCAAGATCAGATCTTGCATACGAACTGTACAGAAAATCAGGGTTCTTGGAACGGCAGCTCTCCCACAAGACCAAGAATTCTTCATCAGAAATTATTTTACTATCATACGCTAGTAACAGCATCTCTCTTGTTTCACAAAAAGACATTTTTCACAGGTTTTTTTTCAAGCTTTCGAGGCAGGTTTCGAATGGGTTGCTGTCGCAAAAATATCTCTATGCTTAGGTTTGGATTTTGGCGGGAACAATGGCGCCCTCATACCCATGCTTGCTCGTTTGTAGACGTCGCCGTCGCCCAAAAAACGTCTGGTGCTTAAGTTCCCTATTATCCCACCTCCTGAAACCACAAATCAATGGGACAATGGGACCTCCCAGCATCTAGACGATAGATCAAGAATTCCTGCTAAAAGTATCGCATGGCAAATGCAGTTTCACGCCGGGCCATTTGGCTCGAGAAATGCGCATTTTTGAGCCCGCGAAAACACGTTGTGTCCTGCGGTTGTCGACTAAAGAACATTTCAATATGGCGGACGATTTCGATAGTATGATTCGTGCGATTCGCACTACATCTAAGGAAGAAAACTTCCAAAATAGATTTGCCTTCGAAGATGAAGCAAAGAATTTACTACAAATGCTGGTTGAGAAGCATTGGGTCAATACCGGGTCAATTCAAGAGGCTCTTTGCTCCAAAATCCCAGCACGAGAAATCCTGTTGAGGAAATACAGCATTGGATTTCTGTCATAAAAAAGAGGTCGAGTCCACGAATGAAAGCGCATAATGCTTGGACGATAGAGTTCCAACGAGATATCCCCAGTCAAGTGTTCCATTTAATTTTAAAAGCTGTACAGAAAGCTCCAAGTGCATTTGGCGTGTCCTGTACAGAAACAAGAAAAAACATTTCCATTCAATATACAGAGAAGAAACGTCTAACCAGAGACTTGACAGGCTTGGGGCAAATAACTCGAGAAACATTGTCAGAATTCTTCAACCGAAATTTTCAAGGAAAGAGGAGAGGGAGCGCAAATGTTATTTGCAACAAGGAGAAGCCTTTTTCCATCCAGTATGAGCGAAGGTCATCAAAAGTTATTGTGGAGTGTCATTACACTTTCACAAACGAGTTTGGTTTTACTTTTGAGAGTTAGTTTTATTTTTATTAGGACAATGTAACACCAAAGGACCCTTACTATGTACCTGCCATCCTCGGAGACCTAGGGGCAGTTAGTCTCCAAATGGCTCTGGGAATGCTGGCTCCTGATTGAGCAGAAAAAAATCCTTTGTATTATTCTGCCCAATCGGCATACAGTTACTTCACAGTCGCTTTCATGTCTTCTTACACAGCATTTGTTTATCTGCCATAATTTAATTTTAATTTACACCAGTCGGGAAATCATTTCGAATGTTTCAGAAAAAAGATTTCGTCCCTATGATTTCTGCGTGGTTTACTTTGTTTTGCCCAGACTAACTGCTCCTGGGTCACCGAGGATGTGCACCTCCTGACCTGCCAATGTTAAACTCAAGGGTGGTTAAAATGCTATTTGAAGACATGCTGACCATGATAATTATTTTAGAATAGAAAAAATTAACTACTTTTTACCAGCGAGGTTGCTCTTTGACAGACTGATGGTTTCAGACAATGTCACGAAAGCCCTGGCAATCTTCCCCTCCCCCTGGGTTTACATTGAAGGTGCATTTGCATTTGTACATTTTAAATAATGTATTCAGTTTTTTGTTTGCTTTTCAAATGAGTCAGTATAATGGTAATTGAACTGGGTGGAGTGCAATGTGGTATGAAGTCATACCTGTGATTTCAAAATTGAACGAGCATGCAGTGCATGTTTATTTGAAATCACAAGTATGATTTCGGAACAAAACTGCCTGACACAAACTTCAATTTCCAGTTTATTGCATTATAATGGCTTCCTTTCTCATTGGCTGAAAAAAAAAGACACAATTAATAGCAAAAATAGTGCAACAATTTTGTTGAAAAAAATGGCACTGCTGAGAGCCAATCAGATAATATTGCGAGGATCTCAGTGATTTCAAAATGGATGTAATAAATAGATGAATCTTCCAGGCAGCAGCATGCAAGCAACCACAATTTTCTAGTACTTGGTTATTCAAATATGGTACATTTGTTTTAAAATTCATGAAAAGTAGGAATTGTTTGGTTAAATGTTTGAGCTAGTTGCATATGATTAAGAAACCCTGCTAACAGTACCTGCATTGTAATTAAAGAAACAGACAAGCTTATATCAATTTTTTTTATTCTTTTTGAAATTACAAGCACATTGCTTAAGAAAACCAGAAAGGAACCGTAAATGTATGCTATTGATAAGCAAATTACAAATGTTGTTCAAAGTATAAGGTAACAAACTTTAATGTAACATTGTTGATGTAACAGAAATGTATGCTATTGATAAGCAAATTGCAAATGTTGTTCAAAGTATCTGCTCACATCTTTGATTGTATTGCTAATATTACAAGTTAATCAGTAAACACACACTGACAGTTGCCATAATACTGTAGGTTTAAAGTAAGGAAACTTTAGCATCACAGTCTTAGCTGTGGGTGACATTTCCCCATTTGGATGCTTTGTTCAATAAGATTTGTCAGCCTGTCACCACAAATGCAACACTTGTCATCTTCAATTTGGACCTTTTGTAACCCACAAGAACAATAGCTATTATCCCTCTTTGGAATGTAAACAGCTTTACTAGCTTTGTATTGACATGTGGTAAACCCATTTTCTGGTAACCAAATGAGCATTACAAACTCATGCTGAAAGATATCAAACCATTGGTTTTTAGACGAACTTTTCTCTGGCAGTTTCTTGAGGACAATATGCTTTGCTTCTCTCCCCTCCATTGTCACTGTACCTAGTCCCTGGTGATATTTCTGGAACAGGTGTTCCGCATGCTGAGGGACGACATGCCCAAGTGTCCAAACAGTTGGTGTGACCATAGAGGGGAGAAGCAAAGCATTTGCCCTGAAGTACTGTTGACATTTTACTCTAGGCTCCAAGAGCTGCTCAGCTGTAATATCAATCCGACTAAACAAAGAAACAGATTCATGCAGCCTTACTCCAATATATGCATAAACAAGAACTGCAAGCCTTTGTTTCCCAGAGTCATCTTCACATCTCAGTTGTTTAATTACCCTCATGAAGTTCTGACAGAACATTCGAGACTCCTTTCCAGTAAATCTATATTGAAGCTCAGCATCCTTCCCCTGAGTTTCCCTGTAACATTTAACTACTTTCCTAGCAGGGCAGGAACACTTCAGCTCATACCAAAGAGCTGTTATTACTCGGTGAAAACAGCTGTCAACAGGCACATCAGCAAAAGTCTCAGGGAGTTTAGACTTGGAAATTGCCTCTTTAAGTCATAGTTAGTAGAGGAGACTGGTTATGAAAGTCGGCAATCTTCAAAGCGCGAAACAATAGGGCCGCTTCTGATGTTGAACGTACCTGTCACGTGATCGCGACGGTGCACACTTTCAAAGATGGCGGATGCAGGAGATGACTTATTCTTGTTCGGCGATGATTTTGAGGCAATTTTAGACCTTCTTGACGAAGATGAAGCACTACAGGAACAATTTTCAACTGTTGCTAGTGAAGTAAGTGCCAATTATATAAACATTCACCCGTACTTAGTCTGTCACGCCAGCCAAAAAACAGTAAATGAAACATTGATCCGACGGTTTCGATGATTCTTTTCCCTCTATACTCTAGCAATTTCATAAAAAATGCGTTCACTTTCTTTAGCAGAAGTGCTCTGGATGCTTTAGGTGCTGAATTTGCCCGATTATACTTTGTTTTGAGAAGACTTCATGGGGCATGCAATGACAACAACAAACTCGATATTGGCAAATGTGTCTTTAGGAAATAAGACCAGTGACAGTAGATCGTTGAAAGTCGATGCCTGAAGACTACAATATTATTGAATTATGATTTGATACTTTTTCGTTTTCAGGTCGAATCAACAGAGATCGTGTGCAGCGACTGTGGAA